TTTTTTCTCTATTTAGAAAAGCCTTGGTAACATATTAGGAGTGCCACGGCGACAGAGGCAGCCCATGTCACTGAAAGGATGTACAAGGTCTGCCTAAGGTTCTAAGCAAATTCTGGGCAGAATTTAAAATTCTAACTGGTGAAGTCTCACATGATAGGAGTCAGATTAGCAGTCTCCTTATAAATTACTTCTACCAGTGCATTCAATACCTAAAACCTAATAGTAATCACAAATCCAGATAAATGCTAATACTAGCAACGTGCTTATAAAGCCCAGAGAAATTCTTGCTGAACAGGATTCTAAAGGACACAACACACACTGCCATTACCTGGGGCAGCTCCAATTCAGGCATATTTAGATKGGGGAATTTGTTATTGTGCCAAGCTGTCCCCAGAGCAGGAATGGCTGAACCATGCACACAGGAGCTCCTGAAGTGCCAGTCCTGGCTGAGGGTTTGCAAACATCTGCACCAGGCAAACACAGCTGGAAGTGCTGGCAGTACATGAGCTGTTACACACAGAAGCTGCTCCCAACTCCTGCTGGGAAAGCAGAACTCTTCTGGAAGGGGTCACACACACTTGGAGGCACAGCTGGTTCAGCCATTTGTCTGGAATTCATTGCACACAAATCAGCACATTCACTGAGTCACAGCTATGACGTGACTTATGAACAAGCTGGCAGAAAAATATAATTTGGTCAATTATAAAACTCCTCTTTTATTATGTSTTGAATTCAGTGAGTTGCATTCCAGCAAGCACAAACCAGGAAAGCAAATGCCATAGAGCTGAAGTCACCAAGCAAGCATTGCTGAGGTCATCCCCACCGAGGCATCTCCTGAAATGCCCTCCTGGCTGAGCCCTCAGACTGATGGGAGCAGAGAGGATGGAGTTTCCAGTGTGGAAGGAGACAGAACGTGGGTTTGAAAGGAAGGAGTGCTGAGTCAGCAGCAGGGCTGAGCAGCCTGCAAGGCTCGTGCTGCACCAGCTCAACACACCAAGGAATGAACCTGCACGGGCTGCAGTGGCTCAGCACTGTAATACCTGACTATTTTACAGCCTCTGTGCTTACACAAATTCTACCATCAACATTTACTCCTTTATTTTTAATTGCATTTTTCTCRAACAGGAGGCTCAGAAGCCCTTAGCTCCAGCAGCAGCAAAGAGAAGGCACCTGAGTTGCCAACACCTACTTGGAGTGTGAGAACAGGATCAAGAGCAGCAGAGAAACGTGCTGTGCTCCTCCCACAGGAACAAACACCCAGTCCACACCCAAACAAACAGCTAAGAGAAGAGTATTCAGGTAGGCTGCCCCAAATTTCGGGTTACACACATCACTGACAATCAGCMAATGAGACACTGTGGAAATGGAACTGTTTTGATAGAGCAAAACCTCTGAACACCAAATATCATACAGGGGGAAAAAAGCTCTAAATGAGAGCTTTGGCAACTGCACTCAAACACAAACAACTGAAATATTCTGATGTTTATCCACATTTGCAAAATCCAACATGTTCATTATGATCTTACTTCACAGAGAGCCTCTGATACCRTTTAACACACCTACATAAGTGTATTTCCTTTTAGGTTATTTTAAAGTACTTTTATAGGAATCTAAGAATCTATGCTACAGTACTGTGACATTTCTTAAATCCTCCAAAGAACAAATAAGAAACCCTTTTTGGTAATACAGGAAGCTCATCCTTTCTACCTGGACAATAAGCACCAGCAAAGAAGACTCAAAGCAACTGACAAAAAAGACCATTTAGAAATGCCAGCAACTAATTGAAAAAAATATTCATATGATGCAGTAGAAGAGAAACAAAAGTTGTGACCCTGTATAATTACTGACTATATTAGAAATACATAAACTTTTAAAATTTGTATCAGCTACATGGAAAAACATCCTCTACTTATGCTTATACTTCATAGAGTTCAGGATTTTGTTTACTTTGAATCCTGCAAAATCTGCAAATGGAGTCAGTGCAGCAATTATCATCTGCAACTTCTTGTCTTGCCAGGAGTTGTGACAACAAAGAAGAAATCTTCTGTCTTTCTGCCTGAAGCTGGAGGCTCTGAGCACACTTTTGAAAAGAAGCAGGTTAGTGCTATGATTCCAAACCTCTTCAGCATCTTTTCTTCATCTAAAATTCAATCCTACAAGTGAAGCACATGAACACCGTTCAAAAGACAACTCAAAATATATAAACTGCATAGGCTCAGAATCACCACACTCACACACCCTTACACACCAGGCTCCAGGCACTCCAACACCTTCAATGTGTTTAATGACCATTAACAGCCACAAACGCACATCTCATTGGCTCTTTTCACCCCAAACACAGTTCTCATTGAACTTTTCTTTGGTTATATTGGGTTTTACTGTGGACTATCTCAGCTAAGAACTAAAATCACTTTTCTACTTCGGAAAAGTCACTGCTAGAAATGAATACTTTTAATAAAAGATTACCCTGCTACTGAAATAGATGTACTATACACAACTATACATAAACTATTACGTAAATGTGGTGACTATTTATTTACCTGAGTGCTTTTTTGAAAGCCAGAATTATCCTTTTGGTTTGTGTTCCATTTCTCAAGCAACAATCTGTTTGAAAGAGAAACAGACCCCAGAGAATTACAGCAGTTTTTTTGGTCTTTGTTTAGCTCTGTCCTTGTATGACTGCTCATTGAGGAGGTAAATAAATTTTAAAGCTCTTTGCAAGTACTTTTGCCTGCTATTCCTAAAGAACTGGTGCTTTCTGGTTCTGGATTGGTGGTTAGGAAGGGTAACAATGAAGAAACATAAGAATTAATGCAATTTAATTGTCCTTCACTCCTATGCTAGACAATTATATAACAGATGTTGGGACTCAGATATTCTTGTCTTCATTCTATGCAATAATAAATACAAAGATTCTTGATAAATACTCACCTCCAAGATTCTGCTTGCTTTAAGAAACTTCTAGCTTTTGCTACTTCTTGAGTAAGTCTCTTTAAATCATCTCCTTCAAAGTAAGGGAAAACTGGATCCTGAAAGCATAGTTAAAATATTTTACTTTAAATGTAAAAAATTATTATTTATTATTTTCTGCTTCACCAACTTAATTAACTGATCCTAAGCTCTAAACTTCCCTACTCCTATCTATGTGCAGAGAAAGTCTTGGTCTTCCAAGAGGAGAGCAGAGCAAGCCCAGGTTGAATTGGTTCTGCTCAGTAACATTCTGCTGTGGCAATCCCTGAGGCCTCATCCTGGAGCATTTATGTGCTAAGCATTGGATTTTACAATTAAATAAGATGGCAAGGATATGAAAACAGTAAAAGCTATTTAAAACCACATCCAGATACACAATCTATTTTATACTTCTCTTTCAAAACCTATCCTGCACTGTGTGTTCCTTTCTGGGTTTGGGCAGCTCACAAGGCAGTGAGCAGAAAGGCAAAGACAGATTAAGGTTTCTCCACTGGTTTCAATGTGAAATATCTTAGAAGTTTGGCAATATTTCTTCTCCTCACTTTTCTTTTTTAAATGAAATGTCTCTGTTGATTCAGAACTAAGCTGCAATGAAACAAAACAAACCAATTTAACACACATGTTCATCATGCAGCCCCTGTGTCAGCATTTGGAGTGCTGTTAACTGTCCATCCTCCTCTCCAGAGCTGCAGTGGAAGCGCCCTCCAGTTTGGGAAGCAAGCTCCTTCAGGAATTCAACAGCTCCTCTGTTGGCAACAAAGGACAAAGCCACTTAGGAAAATCATTTCTCTGAAAGCAACAACAAAAGAATTTCTAACAACTCCTCAAAAATATTATATCAAAACAAATAGATTGGAGGCCATGATTATAAATATCTGTATGAAATGAGGGCCATGTGGCAATTACTGTGTCAGAACAACCTTCCCCACGGCCATCTTGGTAACACAGACTTGACAATAAAGAAAGTAGTAATTTTAAGGGTTTTTCTGTTGTTCTTGCAAAGTATCATACCTGTCTGCACAGCTAAAACAAATGGTGTGGATTTTAATATCTTGTTTCTTTCTCAATCTTTCAATCTCTTTCAAAATCAGACTGCAGCTGGTGTCTGGTTTTCCATCAGTCAATAGATACAGTGCCTCCACACCCTGGAAACAGAGAGCCTTCTGAAAAGCAGAAAGTAAGTTTAAATAATTCATAAATTCATAGAAAAAGTTATACTTAGGAATAAAACCACTGTTCCAGCTATTTAAGATAGTCTTATATTTACCACATCATTAATGAACTTGGTTTTGTCTTTTCATTTTCATTAATTAGGAAGGAGACCAGGGATATAAATTTGAAAACTTAAGCAGATAACTTGTAGCATAAGACAATATATTTATAAGCAGGACATTGCCAAAAATTGACTCACTGAAATAAGAAAATTAACTGGTTTTGGAGAACTTCTGACAAAAGCTGTTTTCCCCATATTTTATGGAAATTAAAGATGCTTAATATCTGAAAATCAGGCTCACTAGGACTTGAATATTCTGAAAATTTGCTACAGTAATTGACTCAGTGGCATCTTTGTACTACACACGAGCTTTGTGTGGATTTGATTGTGATGAGTGTTGTAACATTTACACAGAGATTGTGCAAGGATGTCTGAAGAAGACATGAAAGGCAACATTTCTTTTTTGATTCCAATTTTAAATCTCATGAAATTGCAAGTTTAGTTTTAAGTTATCATTACTAGTTGATTTCTGCACTGGAAATTTTTATAGGAAAAATGTTTCTTCACCTGTTAAAGTTCAAGAATTGCACTCAAAACCATGAGACTCCAACAAATGTTGCTTGTTTAAAATCCTGCTTGAGTCAGAGCAACATAGCACAGCCACAGCTGTGCACAAACATCATTTTGAGCAACTGCCTATTCCTCCTCTCCAGTGTTCTTTAAACACAAATATTAACAAAACTATTGATAGCTGACTTTTTTTTTAAAACTTCGTATGAGAATTTAATTTGAGTATCTATGAGCCCTGGGGCTAGAAACAGTGACTTGATCTCTAAATTGTTCACTGACTTGCATATAAAAATGTTGTACACTTTGACATACTGATTTTCCCAGTCAGGTGGAAGTGTTTCACCCCACAGACACCATGTGCTCTCCAAGCCTGGCACACCCACCTGCAGAGCTGGAAGGATGCTGGAGTTGCCATGAGCATGGCACGTGCAAGCCCACTGCACAGCCTGGTGACACCTTTCATCTGTTGCCTTCACAAGATGCTCTTTCCAACTCTCTGCATGTTCTGCAAATCTCAGCAGGTTAAACCTGAGGAGAAACCCCCAACATTTAACCCTAACCAAAACAATGAGCCCCACTGGATTAGCCAGTTTTGAAATAAATAAATAAAATTCAAAAATAACCAAACACAACCCAAACCCAACAGTAAAAAATCCAAACCAAACTAAGCTCCCCATCCAATAGTCCAGTGTTGGATTAAGATCTTCAGCCTTGTAAGAGTCAAAGAACAATCTTACTTTGCATGACCAGAAAACCCATAGGAATTCTGAGCTTCAAAATGGAAACAGCATCAGCCTATAGCAGAGGCTCAGATCTTAGAGAGTTTAGAACTAAAAACTGGTAAAGCAACAAAAAAGAAGTTCTTGTCACATGCACATTACACTTTAACATGTAGAAATCACTTGAATTGTGTTTCAGCTCTGTATTACTGTAATTATTAAGCAATCTAATTACATAATAATGAGTGCAGATTCAGTCTTTAGCAGTAATTCACCATACCTGACTCCATTTCTTCTCAGCTGTTCCCAGATGAGGGAGGTGAGTTCTTTGGTGATCTGTGGCAAATACGGCTCCATGGAACCGGATGTGTCAATCACAACACAAACATTTGCTTCTAAAATGGTACCAAACAATCTGCGGCTCCCTGGGCCAGGACATTAAAATTAATTAAACATATTTAATTGAGCATTAATTCAGTCTTTAGGGGTAATTTGGGGTGCATTTCTATATAATTAAGTCCAACCGATGTGGCAATTATGTAGTTAAAAGGTTAATAATAGAAAAGTCTTCTGCCATTTCAAATCTAACACTATCAAACATTAATTACTACATAATTATAGCAGCTCACATTAAATAATTTGTAGCACCTTTGCAATCCAGTAACAAATTAAGCTGTTTCCCAACAATGATCTTAATGAACAACAGAGAGAGCAAAATTCTTGTCACCAGAGGTGATGCTCAGCTTCTAAGTAGGGTACATTCTTAGCAAAAGAAGCAAAAGTGAATTTTGCTTGTGTATATTACTGTATATATTCTGTGGATGGAAACTTCTGCTCTGCATTCATGAACACACAAAGAGCAAAACTTTACATCACAGCCCTGCTTATCTGACAGCAAGCTCGATGTTTATCAGCTACACAGATGCTGAATTCACAAAAATAGGTTTTCAAATTTCAATGAAATGCAAGATAGAGAACCTTTATTGGTATTGGAGGTTCAGATTTATGTTCAGATCTATTCCACCAGAAACAGCAGACAAGAAGGTTTTGTGTATTTTTAAGCTGAGCTTTACAGAAGCCCAGCTGCACAGCAGTACCTGAGAGAAGCCACTGCATCCTGTGGATATAACGCTGCAGCACCTTCTCCAGCTGCTCTCTGTACACTTCCAGTTCTTTAGGTTGGAACTGCAGATGCTTCACAACCCCCTGGAAAAATTCAATTTATACAAGAGCATCTTCAGGAAACGTGAGCTCAGCATGCAATGTTGGCATTAGAAATCAGGGAGATTTTTGTCTTTACATCAATGAAATAGGGCATGAAAAATTCTGTGACTGTTGACCTTCCCTAGCTTTCTACTGGAAGAATGATTTAGAAATCAGAGTAGAGAGAACATCACACCAGAAGGTCAGAAACACCAACATTCACTAAACAAATACAAAGCCTTTCAAAAACTTACATTAATTTCTGCACTAGGGAAGATAGAACAGTATTTGGCTGAGACTTTCTTGTGCAGACACTCCACAGTTTTCTTCTGGTGGGTACAGCCTGGACCAAACATCAGTCGTGGCAGTTCCAGTCGAAGCTTTTTAAGACTGTACTTGCTCAGCCACTTGTAAGACAAACAAATAGAGCTTTTGATATTGCTGGCAAATATTAGAACATTTAAAGTAGTAAGACATCGTACAGAATCACAGTGTAAACCTTAATTAATTCAGATTGATAGTTCCAAAGTGGTAATTAATTAATAAGGAGAAAAATACCTCTTTGCTTGAACAGATTTCCTCTTCTTCTGGCAGTGTGACAGAGGAAACAGCCTTTTTTCTGCACATTGTCTTTGGATACTTCTGATACGCTGTACCTATTTGAGAAATGAAAAAAGTACCTAAAAATCAATTGTTTTTAAAAATTATTACCTTCAAAAAATTCCAAACCCAATATTCTATAATGATCTAAAATCATAATCACAGCCTTTTTCCTTGAAGATCCTTTGACCAAAAGATCCCAAGGGCCTTTACAGAAGAAAAACCCAAATAAAAACAACCAGGCARGAAGAGCCCCCCACCTGCAACCAAACTGCAAATCCTTATCACTGTTTGCTAAGTGAAACTCTTCCACTCACTGTTCAAAGCACAGTGCTTATCAGTGACTTCTCATCCTGCCACTTTTATAATAAAAGTGCTGATAAGACAAGAACTTCACCCATCCTGTGCTGATAACACATACCCACACTTCTTCCTTCACCAGTGTAAAATACAGACACAGAAAGCTCTGGCTGCTTCCTTCCTTTGTGCTTTCCTTTATTCTCAGTCTGAAGCCATTCTTTTACTGCTTGTGCTACMAGTAAATAACAGATAAAAAACCCCATTAATTTAGTTCATCTGGAGTAAACTCTCACACGACAAGAACTCAGCCCTGTTCTCTTCACACATTCTCCTTACCACAATTATAAATGCTTCATTTTCTTAGTTACTGGTAAAGAAAAATTATATTACAGCACTACTTAAGAGGCATAAATAGATGTTAGATCATAAATAAATCAAGAGGAGCAGCATATTAACTAAAATGGGATCTTACAGAAATAGTGACAATGTATACATTGAGCTAGTGACATAATAAATCTCTGATTAGCTGAGCCTTATGGTTTCAATTACAGCTAAAACTGATCCCAAAGGAATTCCAAACCAAACCCAATGTTTCCTGTAAATCTGATTAAAGACTACAGTTCCATGTGTTTCTAAAATACTAATTTAAATTTCTAATTTAAATACTGTCTTTTAAGAAAAATCCAAAAGAAACTGAAGACAAAAATCCATCCAGACCTGGTGGAATTYCTGCTTTGGCACTGGGAGGACGCCACGCTCTTACAGGAGTAGTTCTCTCTGCACCATGGTTGTCTTTAACATCCTTAAGCACCTTCAATAACAAAAAAAAATTAAAAAAAAAAAATTAATTTATACAGCTGGATCATAACTGCATTATTCAAACCTGGAATTATCCTTCATTATTCTCTAATTCCAGTTTTACTCTGGTTTTGATGAATGCACAGACTGCTGTGACAATACATTCATTTGCAGTTTCTTGCTGGGTTAAGTAATTTTAATTGCTCTGTTTTAATTATSTTGCCAACATCATCTGCTGCCATAAAACTGGAGACCAACATCCACAGGGAGAGGASTTGGAGCATTTTTGCCACTTTAAAGAGCAGTCTGGTATGGTAATTGTTTACAGAATACAGTATTTAGTATCTTCCTCAGCATTTCATTGACTATTGGAATCCAGTGCTGGCAGCAGTAATTTCTCCTTTAGATTTGGTTCCTCCCTCTGGGGCTGAGCAGCCTGTTAAACAACAGGAGCACTTGTTTAACCCTACTGGAGGGGAACTTTTGATGTGAAATTSAGCCTTCAATAACTGACACCTAACTCAACATCCAGCTCTACTGTAAACATCACCAAACATCTGCTGTCAACCCTGCACCAGTTTTCTGCAAGTTTAATCCCCACAAAACTATGCTATATTGTCATCTCTGAGTAATTTCTCCTGCATTTGTGAAGAGGTGTTGAAAATATGTCACTTTTGATAAAACAGCCTGGAAAACCTACAAAGCCTTTGCAACATTCCCACACCTACATTCCCATTTCTTACATTCCCACACCTACAGTGCCATTCACCTTCCAAAGAKGAGACATGAAAATTCCAGTAAGCACTGTCCCTTATGCATATTACAGATTTGCACACCTACTCAMAACAGACATATGCACATTCACAATCAACAAACACTGCAAAATCCCAAGGGATTCAGTAGTGCAACTCCATGGAAATAAGCACAGCAGGCATGAAACAAATCCTGAATCCTGTTCCTGTTTTATGCTGGTCTCAATAAGGCCAAAGGGACACTACTGAGCTGCAGCTGTCAATGAGCAGAACACCACAAAATTCAGTACCTTCTACAAGGACCTGTAAAATAGATGTGGTTTGGTAAAGCACATTCCTGCTTTGCCTTTGTTTCCATTAAACACTATTTTTTAAGGTCAGAGGAAGGATTATTTACACACCTTTTGACACTACAGTGTGGTTCCATTATAATTAATTACTCAGCAGGAGTTAGTAAGATGCAYATTTTGGTACATGTAGCATTTTGAATGCAAACATAAATTCAGTGTTTAAATTACATCAAATKTTCAGCTGAGCACTTCTCTCACCCAGATTGGTATTCAATAGCTGGGTGGGATCTCTAATTAACACACAGCATATTAAAGATRGGACCATTTCAAACCATTCTAGGCAGACTCACAGCTGTGGCTTTAGGAGATGGCACCTTCTGTGGCTTCTTTTTCTCCTTTTTCAYAAGCACATTTGAGTTCCCTTCTGGTGGAAGGGGTTTCACACTCTGATTCACTGAGCGTTGCTTTAAGGACTCCACCAGGAATGCACACTGAAATGGAAATTCACAYTGTTTACTAATTCATATACACAAAATTTAAGTAAATGGCACTTCAAAGACAGGTATTTTGTATTTATTACTTTAACAAYAAATAAAATTAATATCTGATAATGCCTAACACCTCCAACTGCCTAGAAACCCCTTAGTGCTGTGCTTGCTCCAACAAATTGTGTGGAAACCTCTCTGTTCTGGGCAAACAGACTGAACCAAAGGCAGCAGCGTGTGGAGACCAAGGCTAGAAGAAATGGGAAGATGATGAACCAGGCCTATGCATGTAGTATTATTTATCTGGATATAATATATATAACTTTGTTATAATGAAAAATTAATTGACTTGAAAAGAATTCATACAGGATTGGCACCAAAAAGGAGAATCACTTGAATGTAAACTCCTTGCATTTAGCAAGGAATCAGGATTASTCCAACACCAGCCACTGCAATGCCATTGTACTGCTACTTTCTGGCCCATATTTACTCTATGGTCACTATTCTCACAATCTAGAACATTCCTGCTCACCATAAAAGGATTTTTCCCAATCTCCTGAATTGTYAGCTGAACAAACACTGTTGAATTTTCTTAGGAAGAAACATGTAATTTAAAAAGATAAGTCATTCATACCTTTTGGGAATAGTTCCTTGCTTTTTCCATTTCAGATATAATACTGGTAATATCATCACTTTCAAAAATACCTGAGAATCAAACAGATGCTAATTAGTGTGGGTTTTTTAAAGCGTACAAAGTAAGTATTTTAAATGTACAACAATTTGTAGAACATGCTAAATAGCAATGCAAAGAATCAAAAAGCCTTTGTTTCCTGCAAGCCTGACCATCTAGACCTAYCATATCAGTAAGTGTATTTTAAATGAGCATCTTAAAAAAGGCTAAAATGACAAATTCAAATAGAAACAAAAACCCAAACAAATTTCTCCATTWAGGCTGCATTATAATATTCTCCAATGTGATTGAAAGCCTCGATAAAACTGTGACCTGGGCTAGTAGAGCATTAGCATATCCTAAAAGAAGTAAACTACTTGTTTTGGGAGTAAAAAAGCATTAATCAATATTATTTCATTAATGAAAAAGAAGAATGTGCTGATTTTCCTCTTCTCATACCTTCTTCTCCACACCAATGAAACCTCCCTCTGGCTGCCTGCACAATTTCTCTAAAGGCAYTGGCAGTTTCCCTTGGGTTGGCATAACGGGCTGGGATAATCCCACTGCAGTCAGTGCCCCTCATCCCACTGAACAGACAGACATGGAGCTGTAAATCAAAACCTGTGCAGACCTCAGCCACATAAGCACTGATTGTGTGCTGCAAGACAGAAGAGAAACAGCAGCAGTGAGCCTCCACCTCAGACAAGCTTCCATCTACTCCAGGGATTCCTGAACCACAGAGCACAAACACCACAAAGGTGGAGGCAAGCAAGGGATTGCTGTGATCAAAGGAGGAGCTGCCTCTACAGAGAGTGCTGTGGAGATCCACTGGGGAATTATCTGTGGCTTTGTTCCCATGAGCTGTAAGGAAATGATATCACACAAAACAATCAGCTTGTTCAAACCCAGAAATCTGCAGTGAAATSATCTCCAGAACTGGAGTGGGAAAGGAATGCTAAAAGCACATCTTGAATTTTCTATAATTCACACACAATTAGTAATTAATACCCACAACACATGACTGGCAATTGCAGAAATGGAACTTTGGGATCCTGACAGTTGTGCTGCCTTAGGTATGCAAGAGAGGAATATTCTGCCAATAAACTGTGATAACCAGTCATGATGGGGAAAAAAGAGAGAGAAATAAAATTGAGATGAGTTTTGATAGGAACTTGGAGAAGAGCTGCCTGTGATGACACTYACAGTTTCCTGATCAGGTATTCCAGTAGTCAGCAGGTACAGTCCCTGGGATTTGTGTTTATCTTTGTCTTTGAAGTCAACTTCCACAGCTCTCCTGAGCGCACCCATGAAATTCCTGCTGCCCTTGCACTGCAAGCTCAACACCCACCTAAAACAAGATGTTTACAGCTCAAAGAATGAAGACACAAAAGCTCTTGTGTCTTCTCTTTTCACAAGAAACCACCATGAACAATCAGTGTAGAACATGGCAGCCTATTTTTGTAACATGATAAAGCTATGAAGTTTTTAATTGTTTGCCATTTTTCTCTCTGAAATTCACATACATGGGATAATTATTTGATCCTACCTCCAAGCCTTTTGTAAGTTTTCTGGTTGGGAAGGAAGCAGTTCCTGCTGCCAAGGCACAATGTCACTCCCAAATCTTTCATGGAAMGATAACAGCAATTAGTTTKCAGGTTMTAGTTTAGATCAAGCAAAAAGAATAAATTCACTGAACAAGAAAAGTCTCATTTGGAGTACTACAGACATAGAAAATAGTTGACATCAGGCAATTTTATTTCAAACCATGTAATTATCCACAYTTATCCATCACCCAAGGTTTGTCTGATTTTCTTTCCTGAACAGGATCCTACACAAGCTGGTAAAAGTTCAGTGGAAGRATTGTGAAAAAGGAACTCCAGCCCTCAAATGCTGCTGTGAGTGAAGAGCTCAGTTCTCCCATAATGTTTGGAGCTCCATGAGCTGCCTGGCTCTTCCTTTACCTGCCAGACAGTGCCCTGCAGCTGGGCCACAGTTTCTGCCTGCTCTGCTGAGCACAGAGTTTGAGCACTACAATATATGGAAAGGTATTGCAGTCGTGGTCAAATTTACAGGGTGCTGTACATTTAGGGTACCTGAGACATCAAAGTCCTCTTCCAGTAAGTTTCTGACAGGTGAGTGAATAYTGTTATGAACAATGGAGCAGGATGAGTATTTGTTACAGGTATGATCAATCAGTTCCAGTGAGCCTCACCCAAAACAGAGATTTTAAATTATTAATCTGGACTCCACACATCTGATCCATGCACTCACCCAACACAGACAAATCAGTGCTAGTATTGCAATTAACTTCACCAAAAACCATTAAATACAATTAAAAATCTGAAATATGTCCATTAATAACTACACTCTGTGTGTACTTCTTTCACTGCAATGCATTACCATTCTTTTCAAAGACTCTTAAATAGTTACTTACGCTATAATATTGAAGCAATCCTTATTTGACATTTGTTCCTCAAGTAAAAGTCGCAAAGAATGTTGGATATGAGAGATGAACGTAGAGTTTGTTACTGATATATCAACAAGTATAACCACCCTATACAAAATGTGTTATCAAAAAAAAAAAAGGAGAAAAAATATTAATTATGTATTCTTGTCTTCAGTGCACTCTAACTTGCAAGTAGTATCTTCTACCTATGTATCAAAATAGGTATCAAAATTCAAACACTGAATATATATTTAAAAAAAAAAAATCAGCAAAACATTAGGGGAGTTTAAAAAAAATTAGTAATAGTAATGGAAGTTTATATCTTTTTCAACCACTGGAATAATCAGGATATTGGTAACATGCAGGGCCATAATGGCTGTGAACCCCAAACAGGCCCTCCTCCTTCTCTGAACTTGAGTATATAAAATCTTCTGTCTGAAACTTCACATTCAAGGTTTGTAAACAGGAAAAAGAGCAAATGTGCAATTGAGGYTGAGTAAAGCTTCAGAGAAAATGTAAATAAACATCATCCTAAAACACATTAAGGCTTCAAACCTCACCAAAAAAACCCCTAATACGATACCTTTTTTCACAAACACTTCCCCATATTCTTCTGCTAGCAACCGATAGCCAGTCAATTCGTCTCTTATAGATTGCTACCATTTTAGCAAGGAGTTTCTATGGACAAAAATAGAAAAATTRTGTTAAAAATAAAAAGTTCAAATCTTTCATTGCCAATGCTGAATACAGAAATAACGTGACAGCACAGTCAGCAAGCCCAGGGAGGCATTTTATGAGGGCATATCAAGTTTGAAAAGGACATTGAACTCAGAAGTGAAGCTATAATTTGGCATGCTTTTGGAGCACAAAACATCAGCATCTAGCAGTGAGCAAGGAGCCAGAGGAACTGCTTTCATTTCAGCCACTTCACTTCTCATCACTCCCACTTGAAAGAATTATGTGCCCTGCCTGGAAACATTCCCATAGGCCTTGTCAGGACTGCTGGTGAGGAGGGAAAGAAAAAGGATTGACAGATCATTATACAGCAAACCCTGGATAAAAATATCCCCAAACAGCTTCTTTTTTATTATACTTGTCCCACTCTCTGATGATCTGCCTTCTGATCTAGGAGGAAATCCTCAAGAATCACCAGTTCCTGGAAGAATTCCAGTGGCTGCAGACTGCATGGACAGCTGTCTGCACATAAATCCCTGCAGTATTTAGCTAATAAGATAATTAATGAGAAATAATGAGATGGTAGTCTAGCCCTGACAAGGCCACATCATCACAGACAACTCACCTGATAGTTGTACAATGCTGGCAGGTCAACATGGATATTTTTCACAGTTCCATCATACCATTCAAGCTGCATCATCACTCTCTACAAGATTAAATTCTGTTAACTGTTTACAGAAGCAAATATAAGATAAACTAATGTGGAAACTTCCTGAATTATTTTTAAGAATAACACMAGTATTTGATTTGGTTCTATGACTCAAATTTCAGCCTGTAGAATTTCAGCTAATTTATAAAGCACTGATTTTAACTAGAAAAATGTAGCAATAGAAAGAAAAAAAAAAAAACCACAAACCCAGGGAACAAAGTTCCTCATCACTTACCTCATGTAGAGTTGATGATACTCTTTTTTTRAGAATAGGTACAAAATCTTCCACAGGAGAGAAAGCATTGGGAGCCAAAACTTGATAAAGGTCTAACTTGTTAGCTATAGGAAGAAACAAATAGGTTAAATAAAACACATACTCCATCTTTTATTCATGTTCCTTACCTGTCCAGCTTTTCTTTCTGGGCTACCTTTCAGTCCATATGTTTTTAACCAGTCTGCTGAGGTTTTGGCCAGGATGCCTGGTGTTTGAATAACTAATGGCCCTTCGTGCTTTGGAGGCTTTGGGAAGAAGCTGCAAGGTGCTGGATTTGTAAATGCTTTGGAAACCTAAAACAGATTTTAAGAAAAACTCTTGCAAGTTTTAGCATCATTTATTTTTACYCTTAATCCAAAATATCCAGCATGGAATACAGGTGAACGTAATTAAAACTAAAGTGCTGGGATTTCAACATGCAAAACACTTTGAAAACAGCTATCACTGTTCCTCCTAAAAATGAAGTTTTAGTGGGGATATGCAATCTCCTAAGTCATTTCAGAGTGACTTCTGCTCCATTTGTAGTCTACACATCTTTTGTAATTATAAGGTTAAAAGAAAGAAAACAAAATTCTGTATGTACAGTTTAAAGCAGAACAGCAAAGACTGTTCTTGTCTTTGAGGACAAGAAATAGAAGAGTTCAATGAAAGAATTAAAATGAATACCCCAGTGATTTGCCAGAGAAGAAGACAAAGTACGCATCTCCCAAACAGAATTTGAATTGGTATATTGATATATATTGGATTCTGCCTTTCTGAAGAAAAATGCAGTATCAGCAGCTGGTCCCACTTATTGTTTTGCATGATTTGTGCATAGACCTCTGCAGAGAAACTACAAATTTCATGGTTATCAGTGATTATGTCTGTCAAACTGTGTGTATATGCAAATGGACATAAGGAAGCATTTAAGTCATCTATCAGTTTATTTATTTCCCTCTCTGAATTTGTGGTGAGCATGCATTACTGTCCGAGTTGCTCYGTTTTGTAGGAAGATTTGCCTACCAGCACATCTTGTGTCTTGCTGTTATCTGTTCCCAGCAATCCATTTTCTGCTCCTACATCTTGCCACAGCAGATGATCATCCTCTAGATGGAATTTTGTCACCCTACAAGACAATTAGTTTTATGAGAGTAATTAATTACTCATAATATTCCTGTACTGTCATAAGGTAATTTCAATGTTTTTCTGCAGGAACTGCTTCATACTTTGACAGTTGCATAAGCATTAATTCAATATATGATGTTTTGAAGAAACATAGTATATACTTTATATGAATTATAATTTATTTGCTATTTAAATATTAAGTTCCAACTATATTTTGTAACAGTTTTCTCACCCAATTTTTTCCAAATACTGATCATTGTCCAACCACGCCATTTTCCTGACATGTGTATCCATTGTAGGAATAGACTAAGCCTTGTTAAAAATAAAAGTAAAAAGACGGTATTAGAGGAAAAAAAATTTAAATCCTCAGGAATAAACACTATTAAAAAGGTATTAATATTATCAGCAACTCAAATGATAATTTATATGGTATGTGGGACAACAGCAGAGTAAAAAATAAAGAGAAGTTACAATTATCCATTTACAGAAAACACATTTAGGAACCATTGTGCAGGAGCTGCTTCTTAAGGGATTTTATGCAGTTAATTATATGTGTGCACAGCTGCTGGGAGACCAGCTCCAGAGCTGAACCAGAAAACGAGATGAACCACAGCAAAGGCAGCTCGGCGGCGGGAGCTGTGCCAGCCCGGCTGGCAGCTGCYGGGCGAGCTGCCCTGGGGTTTAGGCGGGTACGACTCCAGCAAAAACCATGAAATCCTGGGCTCCACCGCCTCASCCGTCCCGGGCCACCCAGCGGGGTCAGCGCAGCGCTTCCCGTCCCGGGARCCTCCTCAGCTCCCSGGGAGAGACCCCCGGGTTCMCCTGACCCCGCCGCCCCCCAGCCTCACCTCCCCGGGCAGAGCCTCCCCGGGCACCGCCCCAGCAATGGCCCCCCAAACCCTCAGCAGCACCGGCCGCTGTCCCCACCTTCCCCCGTGCGGGACCCGGGAGCGGCTCAGCCCAGCCCAGCCCAGCCCAGCCCAGCCCGGCCCCGCTCGGTGTTGGCGGCGTTGCTGCTGGAGACGGGACCGCCATCGGTGCTCCCCTTCCTCCGCCTGAGGGCGCTGAGCGGCGGGAAAGGACGGGAGCCGCCCGGGAGGGGATATAAGAGGGGAGGGGGAGATAACTAAGGGGAGACACCTGAGGGGAATCTGACACCTGAGGGGAAACACCTGGGGGGAGATACCTGAGGGGAGATATCTAAGGGGAAACACCTGGGGGGAGATATCTGAGGGGACACATCTGAGGGGAGATACCTGAGGGGAGACCTGAAGGGAGATATCTGAGGGGAGAAGGGAGAAACCTGAGACAGCTGAAGGGAGATACCTGAGGGGAGGGGGACACCTGAGGGGAGATATCTGAGGGGAGATACCTGAGGGGACACATCTGAGGGGAGACATCTGAGGGGGGAGATGTGAGGGGACACCTCAGGGGACATATCTGAGGGGACACCTGAGGAGAATCTGACACCTGAGGGGAGACACCTGAGCATGGGGCGGGGCCGGTCCAAGTCAGTGCAGCCCGGGCCATTCGCTTTAGTAGACAATTTATTTTGATAAACTTGCTCAATAACAAAAATACAAGTGAAGAAAATTATGTTCATTTTATACAGTTTGTATTAACATTTGTTCAGAAATCATTAATTGAAAAAATGCTCTAACCAATTAGAAAACAAGCCTCAGTAAGGCCGGGGGGCGCGGGCAGTGGGCCCGGCCTGGAGCCCAGGCAGGACAGCCCGGCAGAACCATCTCCTTCATTATGTTCATCCTTCACAAAGTTTGAAAGGACAGCTTTCATTTTCCTGTGTGTGTGTGTGTCGAGGCAAACAGGAACCGACAGTTGTGTTCTGGAGTGGTTAAACACAGGGACGGCAGGAGGCCCCGATGGTGGTGTGGCACACTGTCTTTGGGAGAGGATTAACAGCAGAAAAAACCCTTTAAATGGTTAAACTGGAGTGTTCAGGAAGCACACCCTCCCCAGCTCTGAGCCAAACACCTTCCAGGCGATTATTTCAGCTGAGCTCAATGATAAGATTTATACAGACAAATTTACTAGTTCTCCTTCCGAAAGTATTTTCAGTTTCCAATCTTACATTTTGATAGCCAAATAAATGACAAAGTGTGCAAAAATTACACTGTGATGGGACATCAAACCTTCGGGAGGATTTTGAAGCAAGAGAATAAATGAAATTCTCTAGTGATGTATGAAATGAGCTGTCCTTCAAAAAGTTAAAAAATAATGGCTGGCAGAATCAGAAACGTTTATGTAAACACTCAACACAAATATGGGATTACCTTTGGAGAAGATTCATATGGAAAACATTTGCTTTTCATGAAATGAAAAGRTACAGATGTTTAGGCATGTTCAATACGAACTTCCTGTAGTTCAAAACAAAACCTTGTGCAAATAAAAACCTATAAATAGTCTTCAGCAGATTTTACAGTGATGCTCTTAGGTATGAAAAGAATGCACACAACTTTAAAACAGAAGTAACAGACATAAGTTTGACAAATGATTGCACCATAAAACAGTGTTTTATATACAGTTTACAAGATATGATTTTCTGCTATAAATTAATACTGTACTATATAGTACTTAGTGACCTTATTAAAAGCAACTGTTGACAGCTGTCTCTTCAATTACTGGGTTGGGTTTTTAAAAATACATTTGGCTGCATCTATTTCTGGCTCAAATATTTAATAAAYCTATTTGCTAAATCTTTGCTAACATTTAATAATTCATAGCAATAGTATTGGCAGATCAGATAAATTTCCAGTCAGCCAACCACAATCTGGATWTGCTCTAAGTGTTTCTTTTAATTTTTTTTTTTTTTATGATGATCCATTTAATCAAAGCCTAAATCCACATGATGTTACTACAACTGAAATAAGTAAGTTGGAGGGGTGGGAAGGGAAAGAAATCTTAGCAGCTGAGGAACTCTCCCCACCCCCAGCTATGTTCCAGTTACAAAAATCTCAAACTATTTACAAATGTGACATTTCTGAAAGTGTATTTTATAATCCAAGTTTTAGTGAATACTTTCTTAGGACACAGTAGTGATAACAGCAAAATTTTGACACATAACCAGCAGACAAAGGCTGCCTTTTAGCTCAACCACTATCACTAGGGGCTCAGACTGCCCATGCAGATGAAGGCTTAAATTAGGAACCAAATCATATTTAAACYATGACTTCCAAGTAAGTGCTTGGCTGTATTTACAGATTGGTATATTTTAGAAAAATTTAGTGATCCATAAACACTCCATTCTATGTGTGCATGAGCTGACTGGAAAAAGAAATMTTTAGAAACCATTCCAGTGACAAATTTGGTCAAAAATCTCAAAAGAAAATATACTTACATYAGCAAATAACTTTTCTGTATTAAAATACCTTGGGAGGGGGAGAGGGAAGAGGTGCAGAAGAACAGGGACCCACGATGGTGTGAATGGCACAGAGTTTAAAATAACGGTGCAAACTCTTAAACACTCCAACTTATTTGATAAGTGATTATTTTGGAAACTGCTGACTTTAACAACAACTTCATCCTAAAATGAATGTCTACTCATTAATGCAGTTCCTCTAGTAAGCTCAATGAAACAATGCTCAAAACAGTTTTTTGTTTTCAGAATGATTCTCTGGTAAACGAGTTATTAACTGGAAAACAAATACTGATAGTGCAGGCAGCTTCCCTGGAACACCAAACTAGCAGTGAATTAAGACGTCTGTGGATTCAATGGTTTATCCTTGGGTTAAAAAATAAAACTACTTTTAGTGAAGAATATTTACTGCAAATTTGGGTGGCCATTAAATCTACGTTGAAAATAACAACTTCAGTAAACAAGGCATATATTTTTAAACAATTATATTGCTCATTTTTTCAGCAAAGATGAACTAACACTCAAGTGAAAATAAGTTCATCCATCTTTGCAGTGGAATAGTGTTTGCATTAGTTTAAACATTGCATTTTATATGTGCTAGAGAAATGCTTACCCATGGTAAAATGCTGTGCTTGAACATGTATGAATGCAAATGTAACAATGCAGTAGAAAAAGAGATTTTCTGTACAACAGTTGCTAATAATTTAAATAGTGTCAGTTTCCCAAAATTAGGATTTTAAGGTATGACATGATCTCACCTTCAACCCTCATATACAAATAAATTACCATAAAAAGAACTTTAGCTTAACTTAAAATTGCACCTAGAAAGGCATGGGATCGTTTGTACCTATTACAAAAAACTGTTAAAATCAAGGGCTGCTACAAAGAATGAGGTAAACTGAAGACTCTCAGCTATGTGGCCTTCAGAGAAATGGCTTTTTCTATTGAGTCCTAGTTTTGCACACCACAGTGTTTTGCTAGCAAAGCATTCTGAGTTCTTTTCCAGGAACCATTTGTGTGTATATACATATATGTACATATGTGTATATACACACACACACACATACACACACACTGTATACTGCATCAGCAAAATATATATATATTTATATATATATTTATATAAATATAAGGACAAAATCCCCCTCTAAAACGTTCCTTAAGTGTTTCCTAGAGCTTTTGGGGGAGGAGGGGATGTATGTCTTCTTGCTGTTACATACATTGAGAGAACATGTTTTGATCTATTGGCTTCTTGGTGCAGTAATGCAGATTGATCCACAATGGTGCCAAAGGCTTTGCTCATCAGAAGGAAGATGGAAAACACTAATCTCCTAAACAGCGAGGCCAGCCTCACTTCACTTCCTCTGCAACCCTCTGGTCTACCACAAAGTTCATAAATACTTTGACTTCCAAATTGTTAGACGTTAAAAACAGGAAGAGTCCAGTAACATGGGGCATTATGCTTCTCAGTGTAAAGCATTCTCCACCAGTTCCTATCACAGTGCAGACCTGACTGCATTCGAGTATGCTCAGGAGATTAGTCAGTGTGGTCTGTATTTGGTTATGGGAAAGGCTCTCCTTTTTTTTCATCCAAAGTGCATAGTGAGAACAAGTCAAAGCATTCCTCTTTTCAGTCAGTGTTTGATAGTCTGATTTAGGCATCCTCCTGAGAATGCAATTCTGCTGTCTTGCTCTTTTCCAAAATAAAGTCCTGCAGTCCAGACATTCATCAGCCAGGTAAACAAACTTTGCCAGCAAATAGAAGTCCCACTATTGTAAAGAAAATGGATAAGACAAACAGTACATAYGAAGACCCAACCACTGTGTTATTGGGTAATTTATACGGTTGACCTCCAACTTCATTGATGTAAAATCCTATTGGAAATATTAGGGCTGCCATACAGAATAGAATCACTGCAAAGAAAAGAGAAAAGAAAAAACAGTCACTGCTGTGTTAAAGTGAAAATATTTACCCATTCATAGAGYACTCCAGAAAAACAAGCAAAATATCCTGACAGAACTGAAGAGCTGAGATCTGCCAGTACCTAACTTGCTTGAAATGACTGAGTAGGCACTGTCGAATTTAAAACATCCCTCATCTACTCCCAAGAAAGTCCCCAATTTTGGCTGTAATTTCAGCTCCACTCACTAGATCATGAACTGTCTTGATAAAAAGTTGGTAGATATACTTCTATCACCGTCTCAAACTTTAGTAATTTCTTCTCCATTTATTTTCGAGTAATTTTGTCCAGTCAAGATAAARTAACATTCAACATTGAAGAAACTTTCTCTATTGTCAGTTGTCTTTCCTCAACTGTAGTTGCCCTCTCCCATTCTTCACGCATTCCTTTTCTGTAAAAGCTTTGCTAAAAATAGAAAACACTCTGATTGTCATTACAGTTTCTTTTAGGATTAAAAGCTACCAGTTTCCTAAAGTTATATGAATGCTTCCTTAGATAATGAAATATCCTTCGAATTTCCCACTGGAATACAATGGAAGTTTTCTGATTCAGTTTAATCTAGGCTTCTTAGTGAAAAACTRAATTCAGACTCTGTGAACAAAGACCAAACAATGAGGGTCTTTATTTCACCTCAAAGTGAGTTAACACGGGCTGCTGCTTTTAGTTTGTTAGTGAGGGACACAGGTGCTGTCCTTCTCTTCCTCTTCYCCAGCACTACAGAAGAAACCCTGGGGATGCTGTTCCCTACTTGGGAACATTYTTACAGGTCAAACAAGCAACCTTAAAAACCTCTGGCAACAGYAAAGGGCATCACCTTAATCACTGGCTCCCCTGCAAGTCACAAGTGCTGCAGTTGCTTTTGTTTCCAAAGGTATGGAAAATAAAATCAGGAGCTTGCCTGTCCCCTTTGGCCTCACCAGACAAAGTTTGTAGTCTTTATAAATGAGGAAATGATTGGCCACAGCAGCATCAATATTTTTTAATGTAACTTCACTACTGCTCTTCCTCGCTAAACACAGATGCTCCAGTATATCCAGCTACAGTGCCCACACTAAAACAATTTTTAATGGACTCTATGTTTATCCAAGATGAAGTTTACCACATATTTTGTATCTTAGTGCTTAAGATTTCCTTAGCACAGGTCTCAGCTCTGAGCCAAAACCACTCATATTCTAGAAGATACTGGTTGTGGGCATGATGAATCTGAATGTCCAAGTAGGTCTTGGACATAAACAAAGAAGGATGCTTTGATAAACCATGATCAACATCGGAGCATCAGCGGCTCCTTGCCCTCCAAAACACASAAAGCAGCTTTCCCAACACCTCGAGCAGAGAGAGCACAGCCAGTACGGGATCCTTGGCTCAGCAAATCCCAGCCGTTCCACTGGAGGGGGCCCGAGCCTCACTCGCGCTGTGCCCGCACCCCGGGTGCCTCTTCCGAGGAAAAGAAAACATCTGGAACTGCACAGGTACCACATTCCTGCTCAGTGCCACCTCTTCAGGCCTTTTATTAGAGCAGACCCAAAGACACAGCAACCAGATGTTAAACAATCTAGAAAGTTTGAATCTACATGATTTTTGGTCCACGTAATTCCACACTACACAATCTGATCCTGAAAGAATGTTTTCTTTTCTAAAATTGTATCTTAAACGTCTGAATCCATCTGAGGAAAACATGGGTATGTATTTCTTGAGCAGATCTGTCTAAGCATAGAAGAGCTTTCTAGTCTGCATCTGAATGGTGGCTGTCAAAAAACCCAATTAAGTTTCTGTAATTCTTTAGCTTGAAATTGTTTTGAGCGCATAGGGACAACTTCAAAAGAAATCCAGTCTTAGAAAAAGGTCTGGTCTTGCCAGGGCTCACTGTAATATCTGCTTGCCTCTTTAGAGACACATAACACAGAAAGCAGCACCTGGTACAAATGGTTAATAACTCAAGAAGCACTTTATTCCCTGGGGAGCACCCAGGATACTCACAGGATAGCTACTGTTGGTTAAGGATGTGATTACCCTGCCCCATTTTCACTTCCATTCCAAAAAGCAACTCCTTATTGCTGATGAACTTTTAAATCCTCAGGAGGAAAAAAAAATCCCAAACCAAGCAAAATCCAGACTCTGGTAACTGCTGGAAAAAAGGCACAAATATGATTTTTCTGTCTAGCATCATCTCCCTTAATACATCTCAGAGAAGCGTCTCATTCAGTAGTAGAAGACACAGAATTCATTTCCTTTCTAGTTGCAGCAGAGGGTGAGAGACCTGAATCTGCAGGATGTAAACAGATCTTGAGGGAGCTCTGTGAATTCCTGCAATAGCCAAAATTGTGATAACATTTGTAAGACCACCTCTGTGGCCTCCACAGGGATAAACTCTGGACATTGTTTCTAATTATGGAACTTAAACATGCCTGCTACCAACACACGAGGCACAGAGTTTGTAACACCCTGCTGACTGCAGAATCACACAAAAGCCGGGCAGTGCACAGCTCAACACCAACAAGGACCCCACTGTCCATCACTCTGGATGTCATGGATGTGTACCACTGCAACATCAGGGGCAGTTTTGACAGTATCTATGCCCAAAGTGACACCTATCACATCACGAGGAAYACTGATTCCTGACTCTTCTGTACAGAAAATGAAGGAACAGCTTCACATTTGCCTTTACAAGATTTCTGTCACTCATGCAATATGACCTGGAGCACAGTAGAATCTCTCCTTTCCACAAAGCTGTTTGCAGAGACATCAGATGGATAAGTTTCTGTGCAGTAAACCCACCAGCAACTGGGGAATGAGGCAAATGCAGTGCTTGTAAATACCCTCCCTGGTGAATCCCTTCTGAAGTGTATACAGGAGAGAACTGACAGAGMAAACTTAGCTAAACAAGGTAGACAAGACCACACTCAAAAATGATTCATATTTGTAGACATGCAGATGAAAAAATTTGGATATAGGTGAAAACATCTGGACTCATCCAAGCAAAAATCCCATGAAAAATATAAGTTATACAACTATATATAAATTCTGGCATGAACTGGGCAAGGGTGACCTCTTCCCAGGCTTTCCTTGCTGCTGTCAGAGTTGCAAGGRAAAGGCTGAACCAAAGGATTCCTTTGCTGTCAGACATTGACTGCAAACCCTTGCATTTGAAGGAAAGGAGCTGCCAGTCCCAGAGCTTCCCCTGGTGGTCCCAGCAGAGTTCCCTGCCTGCCCAGGACAGCATGTCCTGCACTGTTCCAAGGTTCTGGGAGAAGAAAATCTGCCAGCAGCCTGCAGGACRCCGCTGAGCCTTCAAATTGCTCGCAGATGAGACGGGACACAAATATGAAGTTTTTCCTACCACTTTCTAATGAGTTTCACATGTTTTCATCTAACAGCACTGGCACTTCACAGGAAGGACCTGCTCGTGGTATTCCAAGTTGATTCCACATGCTGCATATTTCCTAATACAATCCTAAGGATAGGTTACTAATTTGTGTTGTATCTGATGAATCACAGAAGTCACTCTCAATAACTTTTTGAAAAATCTAGAATTCTTCCTTCCATTCCAATACCAAAGACATTGAATTTTGTAATTTTGGCAATGTAGCGATCATATCTTAATAGAATTATGAATAATTCTGACTTGCAAAAGAACAAATTAGTGTGTTTCATTATTAAACATCTCATACCAAGAAGACAAGTGCTGAAATAAAAGTGTCCTTCCACTGAGACATCTAATTATGAACCTGTTGCAAGCCTAAAGAAATCTAGAGAAAAAAAAAACAAAACCAAAAAACCAAAACAAAACAGCTTTAAGGTACCAGACTTTTTTGGCTGAACTGATCATCACAGCTGTAGAAAACTAAAGCTGCAGGGATGTGATGATTCGAGATATTAAAGAAAAACATTGATACCTAGAACTCAAACCCCCTCTTTACCCAAATGCATTGACTTCAGSTTACTGTAAGCATCTTGACTTTATATGGAATTTTGACTTTAATCCCCTCACATATATTAGATATACATGAAATATGTATAGATAAACGGGTGCACTGGAAAAGATGGGATGGAATACTCAGTAATACTCAGGTCTGCTATTTTAATAATTCACCAGAAAAYAAATGAAAGTCAATCACAATGGATACAGCATTTCAATAGCTCCATTGTCTGCAAGAGCTGCAGACGATTAATTTAATATGCTGTGTAGCAACGTTGTCAGAAAGATGGCTTTGATTGTACAAGTGCCTCAGTGAAGTACCTTGGTTGAAGCTGAGTACTTTTTAATATTATTCCCTTCCCCAAAACAAGGTTAAATCTTACTCATATTAGATATCATTAGATGTCAGAGAGTTCCATTAAAYCTTATTTATGCCCGTGTAAACCACAAACTTGCATTTTCTAGTTAGCGTTCACACTACCTTTAGCGGTTTGTCATAAGTCAATTTAAAAGCCCTCAGGTTTTGAGTTTTGTCATGCTGTCATCCCCACCATTAAGGCACCATTTCACAGTTGGGCTAAGCCTGTAACACACACCAAGAAAAGGAAGTTTGAAAGTTATTCCCTTCGCTCATTAGAACTGTCTTTCTTTACACTGAAGTAGCCATAGGATATGTTTCCCTGTACAAACACAGAGCTGCTGGAGAAGCTCAGCTGTSAGGAGTTCCACTGGTGCTCATGCAGAGCACAATGAAGGCAGCACAAAAGCACTGCTCCCTCCGGCTAAAGCACGGCTGCAGGTCACTTCTGGAAGCAGAATCCTCCGAGCTGTGAAGCACAGCAGATGCTCTGCAGTGGGCAATCCTCCTGCATCGCCAATTAGGATGCAGATAGTGTGAATAAAGAGGCTGCTGTGAGCATGGAGCAGACTGAAGCAGCCTCAACCCCGAAGGAGGGATTCACGAGACACCTGAGTAAGGGACAGGCGGTCTCAGATGGACCAACTGCCTCCTCCTCCTCGGAGAGGGAGTTTTCAGKAACTGCAGGCTATTGGGATTAGGTCCTGGATATATGGCAGTGGGGAAGCATRAAATACTACAGCCACTCAGGTCAGGACTGACCTCTTCTATCCCTGCCCATTTTCTTAGGTCAGTTAATGGCACTGCCCAAGGAAGGTAAAGGGGTCAAGCCTTCCTTTCTTTCACACCATTATTCCCTCTCAATTACAGTCACTTTATTTCTGAAGACTTACTTTTCCCTCAGATRTGGTATTTAAAGAGAAGGAACGTTTTGCATAGCAGAAGCCCTGAGCACTCACTTCTTAACAACATGTGGTGTAATTCAGACTCCACCAGTTTATCCTGCATACAGGCCAACTGTGTGCTTGAGGTCACTTACTTCCAGTGAAAGCTATCCAGCGGGCATATTTAGTAGCTTCTCTTCGCCAGTGGGAAGCCACCAGCAAACCACATGTGACAGTTAGTGAAATGATTCCCATTATGATGAAAAATAACGTAGTGACCCACTCGGGAGGCAGCCGTGGAGGAATACAGGTCCTGTCACGTCCATGGATGGTTTGACACTGTCGCACAAGGCCAACTGTGAGAGCACCTGAAAATACACAGCAGAGAGGCAAGTAAACTTTCAAAATCCTCTCTGAGGGGCGCTCAATTGCAAACCAAAGCTCAGAATTGCCCCAAAGTAAGGGGTTCTTTCTTTGCTGAACCTCAGCAAGGCTTTCAAACACAGAGGCTGGGGGGCATGCTCTAAACATCTGTCTTCATGTTCCTTCACCACACGCTTGTACAAGCTGAAGTGAGATGGCTGCAAGCTCTATCTGGTTCCTGAGTGGCAATCAAGGTCTAATCAAAGGGGTAAAGCACTCGTAATAAAGCCTGCCAAAATCTGCTAACGTGGTAGCTGAGTTGCATAGAGGRTCACTCCCTCATCCATGCAAGATGAAGTACTTTTATAGTCTAACAAAATGAGTTGTAGCCCCACTAAAATGCTTTAATTGTCTAATACCTCACCTGTAAATACAGCTTAAAGCCTCTGAGTCTTGCAGCAGAAACTGCATTTGATTAATGTATGATTTAAAAAACATTTTTAAAACTCTCATTTCTTGACAATAACTCATTAAAAGGACCCTCCATCAAAGACTGATCAATTGATTGCTAACAGGAGTTACTGCACACAGAAACTGGGATAGCTACACAAAAGATCTATCAAAAAGATCCCAGAGAAACGATAAGAGTGGTACAGAAGTCGTAAGGATTTAACCAAAATGATGTATTTTCTGTCAAATAATAATAAAAAAAATCTTTAMAATCCAAGTCAGTGCTTTTGAGACTCATAAAGAAGCTTTTAGCGAGCTTTAATAGGGAAGTCATCTAACCCAAATTTAACATGCAAGATTAAGAGGCATTTCTTCTAGTGTCTCAAACATTAAGTTCTAGATGTCTCAATTTTGTCCTTTCTTCTGAACTGTTATCCTAAATAATCACAACTAAGAACACATCCATCGACTGAAAGATTCAGGGATGAATTTCACCTAAAACTGAACAGCTACAAACGCAATACAGATGACATTTTCTGCTCCAGACACACAGCAATCACACCATTGCTGTGCACCAGGATTACACAAACCTAAGGCAGGTATGGCACAAACAGCAGAGCCATGGCAGGAGCTCAGGCAGCTGGAAGATGGATCCAGTCCCAARGGTGCAGTGATGAAAGCTGCCCAGATGTTCCCCAGCCCTCAAAAACCACAGGRACAACCCCAAAATGCTGGGGATGCTCCCCACTCTCGTCTGCCTCTCTCCCCAGAGAGCCCCAGCCTGGCACTGTTCAGGTCAGCACAGCCGGTGCAGGAGGTGATTAGGATGGATATGCTAATTACTAAAAATGAGATTTGACCTTTATCAAATCAGAGAATGCGGCACTGAGCAAATGTTACTGAAGTGGTCCTTAGTCTTTTGCACTAAATCTATTCGCTGAAGTGCCAAAGCATTTCAAACACATTAAACAACCTCTCAGTAGTGAATCTGTGTATAACCAGGGCTCCAGTGAATTTCACAGAAAGATTTTGTGATCACCCAACTCCTCCAAATCACCACCAATGCTCATTTTCTGACACCGCATATTTTTACTACAATCAATGATAAAAAGATTCTTAAACAAATACAACAATGCTGGGCAGCATCACCTATTAACAATTAATTTTCACAAAACCATTGAGGAAAAGAGGTGGACAGGGACTGGAGCAAGGACAGGCAAGCTCTCACTTTCCTCCTTGGTGGCAAGGTGTGCACTGACCCCCAAGACCCACAGCAGCCCTGTGGTGCTCTGTCATCCCTCCCCTGTTTCCCTGGTAACTACAGAGCCACCATGGAGGAATCACACTCTACAGAGAGAAACAAAGGTTGCTGCAGCCCTTTAACTCCCCCTCCTCTACATCACTTCTGAATTATTAAAAGTGGCACAGCGACAGCASGGCTGGAAAGCAGCAGCATAAGGATGGCCATTGAGATGCTCACCGTTCATGTGTTATGGCAGTGCCAGGACACGCGGGATCCCGTGTGCCAGATGGGCACAGGAGAGGTGCCAAGGTGCCACTGCCATGAGGAGCTTACCACAGCAAAGAAACAACTCACATGGCCAAAGCAAATGCCGTCAGTGAGGTGGGGATCAAATGTTARAAGGTCCCAGAGCTCAGCAGCTATGCTGGCACGTGAACATCCAAGGCACAAACACTCAGAGCTGCTCCTCCTCTGTCCTCTCCTACTGTCCCAACTCGAAAATGTGTTTAATCTTCCCTATCATTTTAGAGAAAATGCTATTCCTTGGGTTTAAAGGCATCTGCAATGCCTTATATTCCTTGACAACAGCTTCCTCACTTCTACCTTCTATACATGAACCACATCCTTAGCAGAATGTTCAATACTGACAAAAAGTAAATATTACAGACCAATATCCCTTGTGAGGGGTTTAAAACATGCACYTGCTCCCAGAAAGCTGCCTGCTGTYCCTCCCTCACTGTCCTGATGAGATGGGGTGGTGCTGCTGGAAACACCAGTTGKGACTGGCAGACAGTTTCTGCTCATCTTTAGTGCACTGTGGACTTGTTAAACCATCTTTGCTAAGTGAAAAGCACAGTTTGGAGGTTTCTTAATGAGGYGCTGGTGACATAAATCTTAGAGCACTGCCAGTGTGGCAGGGACACTGCTAAGTTTTATGTTTTAGTAATGAGCACAGTATGAAGCTGCATTATTTGGGCACTCTGAAACATTCATTGCTGCTGGTTAGGTAACAGTCACATGCCAGGGAGTGACATATGTAAAGTCAGGGACAGCTCAGCCAAGCCACTCCCTGCAACTCTCACTGGGCCACAGACAAGGACGGGTTGGTTCTGAGAAATTTTCAAGTTCGATCAAGCTGATAAACTTGAATGGTAAAAGGTGTAGGTCTATCTAAGAGGAACAGGCTGCGGCCATGAGAACAGCTGTAGCCTTCCAAGGTCTAAAGAAAACACAGTGATTTGGTCATARCAGACTAATTCCATGCACCAGTGTTAAGAATACCCATCAAGCTGCCTTCAGCCACCTTGCCTTTAATGTGTTTGCTGCTCTTTGCCTGCAACCAAGCCTCTCTGACAGAAGATTGCTTGCAAAGGGAGAAAAGCCTAGCTGAGCAATTCCTGAGAGGAACAAATAAGCATGGAAAGAATAGTTCCAATGCACCTACCCATAACAGCAAACAGGGAGGAGCGACTTCCAAGAAGAAAATTTTCAAAGTCATCAAAGGAATTTGGCAGCTGAAGTGGGATGTTTCCCATTCTTACATATGGAATTCATTTTCCTGCAATGGGCACTTGAAGTGRTGTTGCTATACAAAGGGGGAAGAGAGAATGACTTATTTACATTTATTTATATGTGTTTTCTTTAGGGCAAAGTTTCTATTAGTTCCATCATCTAGGCACTAGTTCCTTGGGAACAGARGGCTCTCCCTCCTGCCTTCCCCGAAATCCAGGGAGCTGACACTGCTGACCATTGACTACCACAGCCTTTGAGGTATTCCAGACAGTTAATTCTACTTATTCCAGTGCAAAACTCCACCAGAAATCAGGCCCTGTACCCTCTTAGGAGATTAGTTACACTCAGAATAAGCAGTGCACGTTAGGGGAAAAGCTATGCTTTGTAGGATAAGCAGCACTGCTGTTATGAAGGGGAAAAAGACAACAGTATCCTGCTGCTCTGCAAAACCAAGGAGGAAAAAGGAATAACAATGCTGGGGAAGACCTCTTGATCCTGTAAGGCAGAGCCCACGCTGTAAGAATCAAAGGGAACCACAGGGTCTCTGTATGTCAGGTGCCACTGAATGAGGCCCACCAGCWCAGCTCACACAATTGCTCTGGATCTGCAACTACTCACAGTYAGAGCCTTGTAAAAGGAAACATAGYKAGTCCTCATCTAAAATTCCAACCCTGAGCCATTAAAGCAATTTTTAMAAGTTTACAGCCTCAAATGCCATGTCAGAGCATTTTCAAAAACAGCACATACACATAATTAACTGCAGCTAAGTAATGGTAAGCAAGTTGAACACCTTTTCTTCCACGTTTGTGCTTCAGACATCGCTGCAGGACAATACAGTAACTGAGTTATACCTAAATAGCTACAAAGGATATATAAAAGAATCAAAATAYAAGATAAGATCAACTGCCAGTTTCTAATCAAGTATGAGCATACAATATCTGGTGCAGTTCTTACATAAATAATTACTTCTSTGTGAGGGATGGAGGTAGTTTGAGTGATGCTCTTTAGCACTTAGGCTGCTAAAATAACTCTGAGGTTACTGTGCAAGCACAGGATTCAGGATGCAGCAGAACAGATTGATTCTCTCACTGCGGATGTTCCAGAACGTTGTTCAGTTAGCAGATTAATAGGAAACCCAGACTCACTAAAATAAGATTTATGAATGTTAAAGGACAATCTACAGGAAGGCCGAAAAGGATCAACTGCAAAGGCACAAAATATAGAAGAGTTCAAAACAAACAGGCTACAAACTATCTTCCCTGCCTTTTGTATGCCAAGTCTTATGTTTTTGGCCTTCCTCTGATTTGTCTCTCAAATCATGTAACAGGTATCATAACCCTGGGAAAAAAAACCTTCAGAGTTTCTCACTTTGAAAAAGACCAGATGAAAGATTAGTTCATACACCCACTCGATTTATCTTGGTATGAAACAAACACTTAAAAATATTTATACAATGTTAAAAAATCAGTTTTCAATGAAGATCTAGATTTACTTGCAAAGTCCCTGCTGCATCTAGCRGGCCTCTTTTAAGAGCCCTGTTGTAAGAGCCCTTGTTGTAAGAGTCCTTGTAAGATTGTTATGCACTGTTATTTCTCTTCTCTTCTCCTCTACTCCATTTATCCCCTTCTCTCAAATCTGATCTGCTCTCTTCCTTCCAAACCACTTTGAAATGCATCACCCTTCTAGCTTTAGAGATGTAAAGGATGTTTACTCACTTCAAGAATGAAGTATTCTTAAAAATATTCATACAGGTCAGGTAATGTCCCTGGCTTCAAWCCGAGCTTACACCACCTGGGAGGA